GCGGGGAGTCTGCTTCCTCCTCTCTCTCTGCCTACTTGTGATCTCTGTCAAATAAATTAAAAAAAAAAAAAATCTTAAAAAAAAAAAAGCCGCCACTGGCATCTCTGCTTCATTTGTCATTTACCACCTTATGGTTTTAATGATGAAGTTCTTACAGGCAGAGGTTTTAATATAAATTTGTTAAACCAACATTGATCAATTACTCTGATCATCTGTAAAATAATACTGTTATGTATGATTATAGGGCTCCCCTAGAGACTAACGTGAATCACAGACTTATTTTAAGGACTGAATGAATTTTGTTGCACATAATTCTAGACAATTATTTCCCTGCTTCCTCATTTCAAAAAACAGCATGCACAACACTGTGAATAAATTCTCAATTTTTGCTTAACAAATTTATCAGGGCTGCATACATATAGCCCATGTATTTCTCCATAGCATCTCCAACTCCCCAAACCCATGTGCAATTGCGTGTAGATTAATACCTTCAAGTTAATATCCCCAGAACCTAGAACAGTCCTTGGTATAAGGTAGGCACTCCATAATTATTTGTTGAATAAATCAATGAATGAGCTCACACTTCAAAGTTTGGACTTTGTTAAAATTTTTTGCTGAGGCCAAGAATCAAAAGATGCTGGGGTACCTCATGACATTTAAAGAGGAGCTGGACAAATGGACCTCAAGTGTAGGCAGAAGGAAGTAAGGTGGCCTGGAAAATCATCACTTCATCAGGAGTTTGTGGTCTTCCCTTCAGGGTGCTGTCATCAGTCACCAAATTCTAAAGTCCTGGGAAAGAATCCTTCTGTTATCACTGCATACAATTCGCCTCAAAAGTTAAGAGGCTTAAGTAAGATAACTTCTCCCTCACTCATCTGTAGGTTGATGGGGCTCAGTCGAGCAACTCTTGCTTTTTGGTCTTCTGCAGTTGCATTCAAGTGTTTGGGATGGAATCATATGAAGGCTCAACCAGGCTGGATACCCAAGATGGCTTTTTCACTCCCATGTCTGGTTCTGTCCATAAACAGCCTTTCCATCTAGTTAGTTTGAAACAGCATGGTAGTCTTAGAGTAGTAAGACTTCTTACATGGCTGCTGGCTTCCACCAGAGTGAGCATTCCAAAAGGTGCAGGTGGAAGCTACAAGGCTTGTTATGGCCTAGCATCCCATGTCACATCTGCCCTATTCTACTGGTTAAAAATGAATCATAGGGCTAGCCTAGACTCAAGGGGAAGAGATTGCATAAGGGCTTGAGTACTATTCATTGGAAGGCCATCTTTGGAGACTACCTAAAAAGAATTGATAGTTCCAATGGGTTACTTACATCCCACTTAGAGGCAGTTCCAGATTTTACAGAGTTTGAAGCATATACAATTTGGAAGGCTTTCTTTGAAGAGTGGAAGGCGTCCAAGTAACTAGGGGCGCTAAAGCTAAAGCTTCATTAGCTTCACAGTCAATTTGCTTTTGACGTTCCCAAACCAGCTATGCCCTTCCTAAATCAGCTATGGTAAGAAAGGAAACACAGCTTTTAGGAGCTTACCTACTCTTGTGTACTAGGACAATTTCCAGGAAATGAGGAATCATTGTGCACTTTCTCCAGTCTTCACCGTTAGTGTTCAATGTTCAGTTCAATATAATCTGATATTTGAATGACTAAAACCCAGGTCTCCTGATGTCAAAAAGTGAAATTTCAAATATACCACATTCCACAATGTTTTAAAATTAAGTTTTTTACAAACGAAACAACAGAACTGGAAGGATACTTTTTTTTTTTTTTAACTTAGTATGCTTTCTATACCTATTTTCTCTGGCTGCTCTTTAAATGTTGATGTCTTTCAAAGATTGTTCTCATTCTGTCCTATTATCAGATAGCCTCTAGTCACATGATTTCATCCACCACCGTAATCAGATGACTCTTAGTCCTCTATCCATAGCCCAGGCCTCTGTGGTTCCAAATATACACTAGACATGTCTATTTGGACGTCCCACAAGAATGTCAAGATCAGAAGATCATAAGTTAATTTATCCTTAGTCCTTACTATGATGAGGCACCATTCAGTCATTTTCAAAAACGTTTATTGACCATTTACTATATGCCAGGTAATAGGAATACAGTAGTAAAGAACACAAAGTCCCTTACTCCAAAGAGACATTAAATATGTAAACAGGGTCATTAGAGATTGTGATAAATGTTATGACAAAAACAGAGTGATGAGATAAGAGTAACTGGCGGAGGCCTCTTGCAGGAGGGAAGTCGGGGGAAGAGCTTTCTGCAAAGGTAACATATGAACTTTGATTTGAAAGAAAAACACCATGCAAAGATGTATGGAAAGAACCCTGTAGGGAGAAAGAATAGCAAGTACAAAGTCCAAAAATAGGAAAGGGCTTAGTAGTCTTAGACAGCTAGTAGCAATGAAGTTAATGAGAGAGAATGACATAGTGGACTGATGGGAGGTAGGGGTCAAAACATACAGGACCTTGTATGCTATAGTAAGGAGTTGGAATTTAAAAATAACAGGCCACTGAACAGTTCTGAATTTAGGGGGTAAGAGGAAGCAAGGATAGCTCTCATCTTTTTTATTTCAGCACCCATAGATTGGTGTCACCACCACTCATTCAATCTCCAAAAGCACCATCCTCTACTTCTGCCATCCCCTTCCCCTCCACATCCAATCAGTCACTGTACTAGTTGGGGTTATCCAGAGAAACAAAAACAATAGCATGAGATGTGGGAGTACGCGTACACACGTGTGTGCGCGTGTGAATGCGTAGAGGGAGGGAGGAAGGGAGAGAGAGTGATTGATTTAAGGAACTGATTCACAGATTATAGAAACTGGCAATTCTGAAATCTGCACAGCTGGCCATTAGGATGGAGACCCATGCAAGAGCTGCTGCTGCAGAGTCCAAAGGCAGACTGGAGGCAAAATTTCTTTTTCCTCGGTGTGGTTTTTTTAAGTCCTTTACCTGATTGGATAAGACCCATCCAAATTTTGGAGGATAATATGCTTTACCTCAGAGCTTACTAATTTAAATGTTAATCTTTTACAACAAGGATATTAACAACTAGTGTTTGACCAAAAACTGGCCTAGCCAAGCTAATGCATAAAATTAACCATCACAGTCAACGAACTGTTTTGACCCTTAAATATTTCTCAATTAGTCCTTTCCTCTGTTACCATTGCTTTATGGTATTAGATATTGTGCCAAATGCTGGAGATACAAATGTGAATAAAAGATAGACTGTGTCCTAGGGATCTTGCATCCCACCCTTTCATCTATCTTTATAATGGATGACTGTATCATTGTCTCTCATACTTTAACGTGCAGATTCATCTGAGGATCTCATTAAAGGGCAGATTCTGATTCAGTAGGTTTGGGATGGGGCCTGAGATTCTGCATTTCCAACAAGCTCCCCAAGTACTGCTGTAGATCAAGAAAAACTATGAGTAACTGAGCTGTAGAAAGTCTCTTGAAAGACCATGTTTATAAAAGGTGTTTTTGTAGGAGCAGTGGGATGGTTCAGTCAGAAGAGCCTGTTACTCTTGGTTCCCCAGTCCCAAGTTCCAGCCCCACCATGGGTGTAGACAGTGCTTAAGTACATAAATAAATAAATAAACTAAAAAAAAAAAAAAAAAAAAAAAAAGAAGTGTATTTGTAGACTCCCTGAAAGGATACACAAGAAACAGAGAACTGTTGCTCCTAAAAAGAACTGAATGGCTGACCATTGTATATATTCTTTTATAACTTGAATTTTATACCAAGTACATGTATTACATATTCGAAAACAAATTAACAACTAAAGCAAAATAAAAACTTCTGAAGCTGCTCCCCTCTTAATACCCTGCAGTGGAGCCCAGTGACCCAAAGGAAAGAGTGCAGTTTAGCCCATCTTAAACCCTTTGTTATAATCAGTTTACCTATTCAGTTTATCTCCGATTGTGCCCATCAGATCTGGGACCACAAGACTTCCCTCCACAGGAAATGCACGTGAACAAATCTCACGTGGTCTTTCAAACTCCAGATACCAAAGCACTTAAGCCAGGAAACCTTTCATGCATTCCGCCTCCCCCGCCCACCTCCCCCGCCGTTAAAGTTACCGTTTTACATTTAACCTCATAATGCTTCTTTTTGTTGCAGTCATCACACTGTGTCGAAATTTTGTTTACATGTCTATCTTTGCTACTTGACTGTGCGCTCCTTGAGGACAGGGCTGGAGACTAGGCCTACCGCAGACTGAGTTCCGAAATTATTCTGCGAAAGAAGCATGTACTGGCCTCAAGGGGCTCACGGGAAGGGAAAATCCTCGAGTTCTGGGGCTGTCTTCGATCCCTTCGTGACTAACTCGAGGCAAACGTGCCAGGAGCTGAATTCGAGCACCCTTGCTAGGAAGACCGCCAAGAATGCGGCTCTGTCCACTCGCTCCTTCCGGGCGCCGGGCCCACGTTAGCTTCCAGAGGGAGCTTCCCTCCGCCAGAGCGCAACGCCCCCTCCGAGGGTCCGGGCTGCCGGCCCACAGCCCCCACTGGCGGCCCTGGCGTCCACAGCTCGCTTCAGAGCGCAGCTTGGAAAGCTTGGGGGTCTCCTTGGTATCCGCCAACAGCCCCGGGCGGCGACCAAAGCGAACAGAGGGAGGATGCACCCGACCGGTCGGGGCGGGGCTGGGGTTGGCAGGGGAGGGCTGGCGAAGACAGGCGAGGGCCAAGCGCCAGGCAAGGGGACGACCTTCTAACTTCCTCGCACTTACGTTTCCTCCCCGGAGCCCAGGCTGGGGCAGCCCTCCTCCTGACCGCTTCCTCTCTTCCCGCCCCATTACCTTCAGGACCACTACCTCCATGCCACCGAGTACTGTACGCTCGGTCTCACCCGCCCGCCCAACTCCCGCGCCGGCGATCGCATTCCACGCCCCGCTGTCGCCCGCTCGCGCGTCGCCCCGCCGCCTCCGCCGCAGCCGCCGCAGCCCTCCGAGGGGGCGGGGCCTGGGCCCCGGCGCACAGTCAGCCACGGTCCCAGCCTGCCCCGCGCCGGCCAACGAGAGCAAAGCCAGTGACTCACCTCCGCCGCGCTAACTCCTCGGTAGCTCTCCCCTCACACACGCTCACACCCGGTTCGAGATGGCGGCGGCGGCAGCGGCGGGGGACTCTGATTCTTGGGGTGAGGAGAAGTTACGGGGCCAGGGCCTGGGCCGGCGCCGGCCTCAAGCCGAAGCAGGCACTAACGCGGTTCGCTCTCTTCCGTAGACGCGGACACGTTCTCCGTGGAAGACCCGGTGCGGAAGGTGGGGGGCGGCGGCACTGCCGGCGGGGACCGCTGGGAAGGCGAGGACGAGGACGAGGACGTCAAGGTGGGTGCGGGCCGGGGCTCCGGGCAGCGCGGGAGTGGACTGGCGCTGTCGCGGGCGGGGATGCCCGCCAACGGGCGGGCGGGTGGACTCTGGGCCCAGGGGCGCCGCCCGGGCCTGCGGGCTCTGGGTCCAGACGCGAGCGTAGGGTTCCCCGGTGCCCTTCTCTCCTCTGCTCGCCGGCCATATGGGCCGGAGTCGAGCTGCGTGGCCTTTTGGACTCATTGGCGAGGGCGGTGGAGGCCCCGGCCCCAGCGTTACTTTAAGGGTCTGCACCCAGGCCTGGATCCCACCCGCCAACTGGCGACGGGAGGTGACAGCCGCGGAAGGGCCCGGTCCACGTGCAAACTTAATGGGCTGGAGGCGTTCTCCAAAAAGATCTGGGAAGTTGGGGATTGAGCCCCATGGTTTCTCCCATATGGAAAGTATTGCAACCCACCTGCCTTGTTGAGCTCAGGCCTCCCTAGGGGCAGTAACTCATTTGAAAGCCCATTTGTAGAGTTTGTTCGAGTAGTTAGATGAATGAAATACTGTGGTTTAATTTCAGTCTTTTTTTTTTTTTTTTAACACAAGACAAATAGAAGCAGTGAAGTGAAATAACTTTAGGCTTCCCACCCCCACCCTGTGGTAAAAGGATGAACGAGTACTAAAATAGTCAGCGGCCAGTGGTCAGAAACCTAGGTAGTCTACACAGTGGTCTGGAAAACAGTTGACAGAGTGAGTTACTTGTCTACATACGAAAGATGCCTAAGAAAATATTAGTTGGAGTAGACGAAGGGGCCAGTTTTTTTTCTCCCGTGCCTTGTTGATCTGAACCAGAATTACCTTTGTCGTTTTGTTTTTGAAGACTCCTGGGGACTCATCAAATGGCTTCAGATGACAGTTTTACTAGTGCGTTCATTTTTTTAAGTAGCTAACCTTTCAAGACCAAAATGTTAAGATTCTTATTAACAGAACTCTCAAAATCTTTTATATTTGTGCAGATAAAGTTTTGTATGAATTGAGAAAATGATTTTTCTTGGCTTAAATGGCTTAGTGGATGTTTTACTTTCCTAACTTCTACACTTCAGTACATATTGGGAAACCCTATTAAGTCCTTCTTGGGTTGAAAAAATTTAAGCCAGATAATCACTATGAACTTATTACTACTTTTGTTTGGATTTTACCTTTTTCTCCTGAGTCTGATGAGGTGGATGTCCAATTTATGGAACAGCTTGAGGTTCAGGAATAATGTGAGCTTTGCAGACATTGGGAATGATAAATGAGTAGTACTCTTGTGAAGATACTTAGACAGTCTATTTACATGTTGTATAAACATGGGAATGAACTGTGTTTCAGTCTCATTGCAAGATATTAGTTACCTCCTTATATTGTAGTGGATTTTATGTTTTGAGCCTTCAGTTCAAATTTGTCCTTGCACTTTTTGTATTCTTACTGGATGCAGCTATTAGGACATCTGTTCTGGAAATTAGGAATACTTTAGCAAATGAGAAGAAAAGATTAGAGAAATCAGGAAAGAAGTACTAGAAAATGAAGTCTGAATGGAGTAGTCTGAAGTGATACCGTGAAGTAGCCTGCCAGAGATTATTGGATCTCAAGGGTGTCCAGTCCTGATAAATTTAATTCTGACCACTTGGAACTAAGAGATTTACAGGTTGTAAGAGATCATAAAGGCCATCTTGTCCACTCACTCTTTCAGTGCAGATTCATTCTTTTATGCAGATATCTTACTGCTTTTACATAAACATTGAAGTTGGATCTTGGAGAAAAACTGAACTTGTCCATTTCTGAGTTGAAATGTTGGTTTATTTCTTTTGAATTTCTTCAAGATTCCCAGTTTATGGTATTCAAAGAATAGTTTGATTCCTGGGCTTCGCAATCAGTCCGACCTGGGTGTATGTTACTGCCTTGACGTTTTCTCTGTTCTTGGTCATAAACACGTTTTTTAATCTTCCCTTTTAGTGTCCTAATCTAAATTTTCATTATAGGAGATAACTTCAGGGGGTTGTTTGCTTATTTATTTATTTAGGCTAGGGTGAAGGGAGAGAGAAAATCTTAAGCAAGCTGTCCACGCCTAGTGTGGAGCCTGAGGTGGAGCTTGATCTCATGAACCCGAGATCATGACCTGAGCCGAAATCGAGTCCAACACCAGGTCAGCCACCCAGGTGCCCCTGTTTTACACTTTATTTTATTTATTTATTTTTAAAGACTGTATTTATTTATTTGACAGAGATCACAAGTAGGCAGAGGCAGGCAGAGTGGGGGTGGGAAGCAGGCTCCCTGTTGAACAGAGAGCCTGATGTGGGGCTTGATCCTGGGACCCTGGGATCATGACCTGAGCCAAAGGGAGAGGCTTTAACCCACTGAGCAGCCCAGGTGCCCCTGTTTACACTTTAAATGTTTTAATATGTCTAGTGTTAGCAGAATTACCTAGTACTTGGGAGGCACTCCATAAATGTTAATACTCTCTTCAAGATGCAGTCTTGAAAAGAAACTAATTTTTCTGGCTAAAGGAAAATATGCTGGTTAGATCTGGTATCTGGGGGTTTATTTTGTGCCACATTTTGTGATTTCCTGAGCCAACTTCTCTCCATAGTGGCTATTTACTCAGAAGTAAGTTCTCTCCACAGTACCTATTTACTCAGAATTTTACTCAGAATGGGATGACTTTGGTTATCAAGCAAGTTTTTGCTTGCTTAGAGATTGCCAATCTAGAGTTCAATTTTGTCACTTTGGATGATAGTGAATAATACCAAATTTCTGAATTATAGTGTTTTAGTACTTAATTCTTTAGTTAAGGATGTGGAAACAAGGCTTAGTTTTCATGAGATCAAATACTCATAACCTTTAAGTGTACAATGTATGAATTTTTTAAAAGTCTTCAAAGGTAAAATATGCAGAAACAGAATAAGTTCTTTAGTTTATGTCATCATCTAGTGTTTAACCTTTAATGATATAGATTTAATGTCATTTGTAATGTCCTGAGAAATGAAAAGAAAATTGAGGTCTTTTTTACAGTAATTTGCTTCAGTAGTTTACGGTCTTTCAGTAGACATTAAAACATTTTGCTGCCCTTGACTTCTCAAATAGGTGTCTGGTATTGACAGAAATGGATTTAGGTGAAACCATAGAATTGTTAATATTCATGAGGAGAGAAGCCTGTGCTTCTTCCCAGTTAAAAAGATGAGAACTAGGGGCCCCTGGCTGGCTTAGTCTGCAGAACATGTGACTCTCTAACTTAGGGTTGTAAGTTTGAGCCCCTTGTTGGTTGTAGAAATTACTTAAATCCTTTAAGAAAAAAAAAAAGGAAAAAAGAAAGATGAGAACTAGCAAACATACTCTCCTGTTAACATTTGCTTTATTTTACGTTTCTTACTGTCCTGATGTTATGCAGAGGTAGTGGGACAAATTGTTCACTTAGCATATTATCACAGCACTCCTTCCCCATTGCTGGAGTGATGTGCAGGATGTGTTGACTAAGAAGGCAGTGAGTACCTATCCTTCGCGAGCAGGGACAACACAACTTTTACTCCGTTTTACTAGTTTCCGAGCATTTCAATATAGAATAGATTAAAAGTTGAATTTATTTAAGGTGTGTAGAATTGTTTTGAGGAGACTTCTGGCTGTGTTCAGACATCTCTGGCATTTGCTCCTGTAATGCTATTATAGAATTTTTTGAGAATGGACTTAGTTGAAAACTGCCTGTCTCATCCTACCCATTCAGCCATCTTTTAGGATCCTCTCCGGCTCAATAGCTTAAATCTACCAGAGTAAGGACACTTTTTTCAAAAACTGGAAATAGCTGTTCTCTCTACTTCAGAGAAATGGGAGATTATTGGAAAATACTCGGAAGGTGGGCATTTTGCCAGGAAATGGTGTGTGTAACTATCTTGAAGTGTGTGTGTAACTTCTTATGAAAAATTCCAAGCATAAAAAGAGGTAAAGAGAAGTTTAATAAACCCATGCACAATCTTATTTTTTCTGTCTTTCCACTCACTGTTCTCCCCTAACCAGATTATTTTGAGGTAAATCTCAGTTATATCATTTCAATTCCCTGGTAGTTTTTATAAACTAGTAAGTTTTTAGTTAGATAGCATGTTTATTACTGGAAAATATTTACCTGATGTGTTTGTCATGCTGGATAACTGAAAATAAATAAGCCATTTTGTTTATTGTTCAGTAACTTGATCTTGCTTTAGCCAAGCATTTAAAGTAGAATTGATTAATGAGAGTTCCAGATATGAGACAGGTACACATTGAGGTGGAATTCAACTGAGTGCTGAGCCATAATACAGAGTAAGATGTTAAAAACTTAATGAATTGAATTAAATGAAGTAGAATTTATTGAGGCAGGTACCTTGGCTTCTAGAAGCCAGCATACTTCTGAGATTATGGAATAACATTTGGGCTTCTTTTATTTATTTTATTTTTTTGAAGATTTTTACTTATTTATTTGACAGATCACAAGTAGGCAGAGAGAGAAGGCAGGGAAGCAGGCTCCCCACTGAGCAGAGAGCCTGATGCGGGCTCCATCTCAGGACCCTGGGATCATGACCTGAGCCAAAGGCAGAGGCCTTAACCCACTGAGCCACCCAGGCGCCCCTGGGCTTCTTTTAAAAACTGAACGTTTCTGGGGCGCCTGGGTGGCTCAGTGGGTTAAAGCCTCTGCCTTCAGCTCAGGTCGTGATCCCAGGGTCCTGGGATCGAGCCCCACATCGGGCTCTCTGCTCAGCAGGGAGCCTGCTTTCTCCTCTCTCTCTGCCTGCTTCTCTGTGATTTCCATCTGTCAAATAAGTAAATAAAATCTTTAAAAAAAACAAAACTGAACGTTTCTGGAAAGCCTACCCTTGCCAGAAGCCTGTTACAGAGTTCTGGGGCCTCTTAGAGCACAACAGTACAGCTTACAGAACATCAGTGAAAGGCTCTTTTCCTGCAAACGGTTATTCTTTACGTAAACCAAACTACTTAAAGAAAAGTAAAGGAGTATGTGTTAATTAATGGAT